ATATTGTTTGATCAAGAGATCCTCAAGTGCGGCAGTAGGCGTAGCCTATAGCCATTTGTTCAGGTCTATTCTCTTATAGCCTGATTGGACAACTTGGGTTTCCAGAAAACCTCTCACGACGGGCTCCACATTGGTCCCTAGGATAGACGACTGAGTGGACGGGGGTGTCCCCAATACATCAAAGTAGGATCGCATGGAGCTGATCCAAAGACTCGACGTCGTCCTTTCCGTCCTACTTGGACGGAATCTGCGCCGCCATCCTGTCGATGTAAGCAAAGTTGCCGCCTGGCCTAGCCATTGCTGGGTCCGGGACCGGAGCTGCAACAGTTCCAGAATTCCCTGCACCACCACTTGCCGCTGTGGCAGCAGCAACGGGGTGTGGACCTGCTGCAGATCCGGATTGGCTGTTAGCCACACTCAAGGGTGAAGAAGAAGTAGAAGAAGACACATTTAGAGGGGAAAAAACAGACTGACACACAGCACTAGAAGCAGGGTAGGTAGATGGAAGGGTGCTTTGGGCTGGCTGCACATTAGCAAGCTATTGCAGCTGGTCACGGTGCTGCTGCGCCATCAGGGTCATGTCCTCGCGCAACTTCTTAAGCTCGTCGAATACTTTGGCGAGTTGGTGAGCGTGGTCCTCAACAGTGCGGACATGCACCAAAGCCTGGAGGAGTGGAACCGTTTTCTCTTCCACCTCCTCATCAGTTAGGGCAGGTAAGGTACAAAAGATGGCTTCGAGAGCCTTTACCTTCTCCTCCCTCTTCTTCTCTTTCTCTTCCTCCTCCCTCTTCAATGCTTTCTCGTAGAAGAACCGGTATTGCGCTTTCTCTGCCTCAGGGGCAGCCTCCATTTGCAGCTTCCAATCTGCTGCAGATGCCATGATGGAGGATGAGGGTGTCAATAAGTCTCTCAAGAGGGGTCCATACTTCCTCACTTGCCTGGGACGAAGACTCCTCTTCCCTCTCCTCACTCCCTCAAGAGCAGCACGCACAGACAGAAAAAAAAAAACAAAAAAAAAAACGAAATGAAAAGCAAATGGCAATGTATACTTCCATGTTCTAGAGGTAGATTCATTCGAGTATGCTGATCCTATTGATGCCCGCTGCCGCGAGGATGGAGACTTACCCCTCTCTCTCTCTCTCTCTCTCTCTCTCTCTCTCTCTCTCTCTCTCTCTCTCTCTCTCTCTCTCTCTCTCTCTCTCTCT